CGACCATGTCTCAACCGAGTGTCGACCGCTATGTCGACCGACTGTCGACCAAGTATCGACCGAGTGTCGACCGAGTATCGACCGAGTGTCGACCGACTATCGACCGAGTGTCGACTGAGTATCGACCGACTGTCGACCGAGTGTCGACCGCTATATCGACCGATATCTCAGTCGACATTACCCAGAGTAAACAAGATCCGCCCAGACTGTTCAGGAGGTTTTAAGACATCACCCGCTAGACTTCAGTTTTAACAGAAAATAATTAAGAGCGACTGTCAGGAAAAATCGACCAAAATCGTATTTTCATGGCAAGAGGTGAAAAATCAATTTCTTTCATTTTTTTGTTCATAGATAGCTTTTAGGTAGATAAGAAACCTAAAGTAGATTGTTCCTGCCGCCTTTTTTTTATTTGTGCCAAAAATTAGAACATCGGTTTGCGATGTCTAAGTCCCTGACTGCCCTAATTTTTAACCTGAAATTTGCTAACATTAACTTTCCTCGCGTTCGCAAACAAAGCTGCATGGAGATATTTGGACACTTTCCATTAACAGAAAAATTATTTTTCTTCCACTAAAAGATACTTTCAGGGCGATAGCAAGCTCGTCGTACTGAAATAATGAGGGATAGGTTTTCAGGATAACAAAAACTTGAGTTCGTTACTCATTTTCGATGGCAATATTTAACATGTGGTATAACTCCAAATTCTCTTAATGCCATTTAAATCACACATTTAGACATTCATTTAAAACATACCTGGGAATTCGCTTGCGTTATTGAATATAATCTCTGTAAGACACCATCGAAGTTCAGGAATTTTCATGGTAGGCCGGCAGTAATTGTGTAAACACTTCCAATTCCGAAACGCACAAAAGTAGATATTTACAGCCTAAATTCTCGTTTTTTTGTACTTCTTCTAGGTTTTCCCATTGCAAAATTCCTTTTTCCAGTCAAAGAGTGGGGTAAAAAGGTGAAACTGGGTCAGTTTTAGCCATTTTGAAACACTGAACTCGACCAGACGGCGACTCTGCATGACAATCTGTTCCATGACTGAACGTGACTTAACATACCTTTGAAGAGACGGAGCCGTCGAAATGACAGTAACTGAATCACGGTAGTAACGTAATGCAATGCTTGAAAAAGGAACATTTTCGATCCCGACCGTATTTTGAAGAAGAAAAAGTCAAACACGCTCTTTCTGGTACTCAATTTTTATTGAAAAATAAGGACTTTAACAATAGTAGTTTGCTAAGGATGACACAACAGGGAGATATTTCGTCTTGTTACTTTACGATCGAGGAAACTTGAAGCCGTTAAATAAGTTATTTTGGACACGCTTCACTATTTTTACCGGACTTTGATGCTTTCGTTTGGAGGCTGCCTAAAGGAACCCAAGCCAATTCTCAGGCATGCTTTAGATGAATGTCTAAATGTGTGAATAAACGAGGACGGGGAAAATTTGGAGCTATACCACATGAAGAAAAGTGTCACAGAAAACAACTACTAAATTAAAGTTTTTCTCACTGTTAACACCTGTTCTTCGTTTTTGAATGATGTTAGTTCAACGAGTGTTGATATTGCTTTGAAAGTATCTTCTAGTGAAGGAAGAAGAGTTGTTTTATTGTTGGAAAGTGTCCAAATTTCTCCTTGCGGCTTTATTTGCGAACGTAAGGAGAGTTGATGTTAGCAAATTTGGGGTTGAAAAACGGCCATTTTAAGACTCTGGCCACAAAAACTGATATTCTTACGTTTCTCGAAAATAAAAGGCTTTTTGTGAGAAGAACTTACATCAGCCTACTTATCTACCTAAAAGCTATATATGGACAAAAAATGAAGGAAATTGATTTTTCGACTCTTGCCACTCGTTGGTCGATATTTCCTGACCATCGCTCTTAACAATTATTGGACGAGGTTGAGCAAAGCACCTTAATTTGTCAGTGGCGAGCAAATCAATTATTTGGCTGAGGCAAATCACAATATTTTGTGATGACCGAGTTCAATGATTGGTTTATGATTCGATCGAAGAGTTGTTTTCTTCAATTAATATCTTCAGGAAGTGAAGCGCTCTGCCATTTTCATGCAAGAGCGATCGCAAGAAGGACAAAAGCGTGATTTCATTACGCATGAGCAGACCATTGTTTGTAGGCAGTTATTTCCAGTTCACGTGGTGGGCTCTCAGCTGATGAAATGGAAAAAGAATTTGCAGCAAAAGATAACGTTTGAGTTCCCAGACAAAAAAAAAATGCTGGCAACAAACCGTGGAAGCATTCGGTTGGGAACAAATGTGACCTCTCACGCAAAAACGTACACTAACGGCTTTCTGTTAAAAGGGTGAAATGCATGCCTTTCGAACAGGTTGCAAACAGCTCATTCATCGAATGGCTGCGTATGAACGGGTTGTTAAGTTTTTTGAATGGCTAGCACGAACGAGCGAATGGCTCACTCACCCGTTCAAACGAGTTCATCGGACGACTGAACAGGTTATTAAGTTTTTCAAACGGCTAACACGAACAGGCGAACTTACCCGTTCGAATGGCTCATCAAAATTTCCAAACAGGTTCCCCCAAACGACTGAACAGCTTACGCTGAAAATTATCTCGAAACGACTGCACTTTACAACAGGCCGTCCAGTTTCTTCTGGAATGAAACTTCTATTTGGATCGTATCCATAATAACTACTATTTGCAAACACGCAACTCTGTACCAAACTTGTGGGGCACAAAATAGCTCGCTTAATTCGTAAATCCTTCTTTCATGTTTTCATGCCTTCTTGTCGACCTGCAATCCCGGACAAAACTACCTGAGAATGTTTACCCCACCATGCACACTATCCAACGCAACAACACTATTTCAACAACAACTGATTTGCGGTACCAAATTTCCCTCCCCCCAGGTCAATGTTGTTTCCTACAAATGTCTAAGGATCAGGGTTGCTTTAGAACACACAACAACATCGCTTCCAAGGGGAGGGGGGAAGGGAGGACGCAGTATAGCGAGAATGTTAGCAAAAATGGTCTGGGAATGTGACATTTTCTCAACAGTTTTGTCCAAGATTGTAGATATACCCTACTGCTAATTATTTGGCGCTGCATTGATGGAGCTCGTTTACTGGTCTGGTAATTATCAAACAGTCACACACCTCATGGAGTTAATGGCTATGGGGGAATCCCCAAAGCCGCTTTTAATAGAAAAATAACAGTTTAAATCACAAACAATTTATTTCAGAGGAGGAAAGGTAACTGGACCAGTAAAGGTGCGGGCAAACAAAACGCCACAAGCATCATTAGAATAATGATGCTGCCTCACCCGAGGGAAATGCAGCACCAAACAAGACAGTGGCAAAAACTAAGTGTAATAATAAGTACTGAATACAACTAGACCGTGACAAAAGATATTGTTACAGACGATGTGAGAACTGCTGCCCTTGCCAGTCAGTTCCGAAAAGAAAAACGCGAAAATAGAATTCGTTGGAAAGTAATAATTCGAAAAGGGTATGAAAATCCCGACAATGTAGTGACTGCCGCCCTTGCTAGTCAGTCCCATAAGTCGGAAAGAATCAAGCTAGTTGGTAGAGGATAGGGATGAAATCCGTATGTAGCGGAAGAAGGCATTAGATTTCCACCTGCCTAAAACATGAATCTGCGCGTCAGACATTCCCCTCTCAGCCGCATGAGAGGCAGCTCCGATTCGAAAACTATGACCTCTGTAGCGTGCCGGGATAAATCCGCAACGCTTAATAGCAGTGGTAAGCAGGCCGCAAAAATACTGTCTATGAACTGGAAGCTCACCGAGAAATGCCTCGTAATTTCAAGTAATCGAGCATTAATTGAACGGGGCAGAAAGAAGACTGACGTTGTATGATCACCGAAAAAGGGGGCTGGTTGTAGCTGTGCTTGTAATGCAGGAATGTGACCTTGATGGAAACAACATGGTTAGCAGCATTAATAAGCTTAGCGATGTTATCAATTGATAAGAGAGATTTGTCGTTATTAGTTGCCGCCATTTCACCTACACGTAAGAAGGCATAAAAGGCAAGGGAACACATAGCCCGAAACAAGCACAACTCATAAGGGGACAGGGAAAGATCTGAAGCTAAATACAAAATTTGGTGGAGAGTAGGGAGTGTAATAGGTAATCTGCCGTCAATACACGTGCCAAGCTTACCATAACCTTTAAGCATTTGAACAAGAAAAAATACCTTTGTAGGGTCTGGAAGACTAAACAACTTATGAGAATAACTGACTGCTGAAATGTAGGTATTGGCTGTGGAGGCGGCATAGTTACGATCGAACAAATAGGCAATAAACAGTGCTAAATGTGGCGCTGAAATAGGAAGGATGACCTTAACCCCAGGAAACGAAGTATGGAAAACATCATAAAATAATTTCCAAGACCGCTTATACGTAGGCAAAGAGGAAGGTTGGAGACTCGAATTAATCAGGTGTGAAACTATAACTGCCAGTTCTGGGGCTGCAGATGAAGAGGAATGTCTGTCGGCGAGTGGTCCATAAAAGATGGTGCCAGCCTTTGAAAAGTCTGAACCTGCAAGCGAGATAAAGCGTCCTCTAAGGCATTTTGTGAACCGGGAACATGCTTTGCCTTAAAAACAATGTTATTACGCAAGCAAATCAAAACGAGTTGACAGACAAAGGACATCATTATCTTATCTCTACAAGATTGCTTGTTAATGACATGCACGAGCACCTCATTATCGGTGAAAAATAATATGCAGCGGTTCTTCATCTCATGACCCCACAGGAACAGACTCAAAACGATAGAAAAAAATTCTAAAGTCGCAATGTTCGTGTAAGCCCACTCATTCGGCCATCTCCCATAGCACCAGTGAGTGCCAAAAATAGCACCAAATCCCAGAACCCCGGAAGCGTGGGTAAATAAGTTCAACTTGTGCGAGTTAAACTATTCGTGGAGTAAAAAGAAAGATTTCCCATTACATTTAGACAGAAAGGATAGCCAAAGACGGGGATCTGCTTTAGCTTCGCTATTTAGGCGAATGAGGTGATGGGCTGACCGTATTCCAAGCGTAAGATCAGTCGCCTCAGAAAAGCACGACCAGGTTTAACAACAGCACGAGCGAAGTTTGGGAGACCAAGGAGAGATTGGAGCTCCTGCAGGGTAACTTTCTTACGCCAAAGGAACTGCGAAATTAAAGCAGTGCATTTATGAATTTTGTCACAGGGGAGTTGGGCTTTCATAGACAGAGAATCTAAGTCAATGCCTGCAAAAGATAAGGTAGTCGATGGACCAACTGTTTTGTCTGGTGCCATGGGGATACCCAAATAAGAACAAAGGCGCAAAAATAAAGCTAGATATTGTGAACAGGCCTCATAAGAAGGAGCGATTATAAGAAAATCATCTAAGAGGTGCAGGATAAATTCTATACGCAGCCTATGACGGGCAATGCATTCAACTGCAGTGCTTAAGATTTCAAACGTCCAACACGAACTATAACAACCCATAGGCATAGAACGGTCGTAATAATAAAGGCTATCCCATTTCATACCTAGAAGGTGATAATCTTTAGGGTTGATCGGTATTATGCGAAACGCACTTTGTATATCGGTTTTGGCAAGAAAACAACCATGGCCCGCTTTCTTAATAAATCTGATGGCATCCTCGATGTTTGCGTAGGAAACGGAACTGTATTCATGCGGAATGCCATCATTCACCAACAAACCTTTAGGGTAGGACAAGTGATGGATTAAACGAAATTCACAAGGGACTTTCTTGGGAACAACTCCGAGAGGGGAAACACGAAATTTTGGAAAGGGAGGAGTTTTAAAAGGACCCGCTATTCTGCCGGCGTCTATTTCTTTTGAAAGCTTCGCCTCAACAACAGCGGGCTGCTGTATGGCCGAAAGTAAATTTTTGGAAACGATTTCAGTTAAATCACCATTGAAATGAATTGAAAACCCTTCAGTAAAACCACACCTCAAAAACTCGACAGTTGAATGGTCATACCCGTCAAGGAGCAAAATCAATCTATCTGCTTGAACTGGGGTTGGTAGCTTTACCTTTGGCAGACAGAGGCTGTTTGTTGACTGGATTATTATTTCCTGAGGCACGAAAATTAAAGTTGTGGCTATGTGGTCACCATTGCACTTAAAACAAGTATGTTTAAAATGACAGCCAGCGCAAACCAAACCCAGATGAAACTTAAAGCAAAAACCATAAGGGATGGGACGATCTGCTTTTGTACAAGGACCTGGGCTTACCCCCGAACCCGGTGATTTGCTTGTTGACGTGCCAGAATGGGAGCGAAGCCACAACTCACTATGAATTGTGCCCCAAGGGAGCGAAGAAACGTGGGATTGATTAATAAAACGAAAATTTTCATCGTAGAAACGCCAATTATGACCCCTAGCTGCCAAGTCACGGATAAGCAAACCATACTTCATTAGAGCCGGAGACTCAGTGGGGTATTTCATAGTGTAAACACCTACAAAGACATGAAAAGCGCTTAACCAGGATTCGATAGAAGTTATCTTCCGAGGCTTCTCAGCTGGCTCCATACAAAGGGAAGTAAGTTGACCTGATTCAGCGTTACTAACCGTTAACTGAAATCGACTCTGTCTGATTGGGTTTATGAGAAGAGAGCCAAAGTCAACATATTCTTGATTCCAAATTTTTGCGCGGATCTTTTCAGAAACACGCGCGTCGAGTGAAAGACTGGATGATATAAAGGGATCTGATGGCTCACTTGGTGAGACTGCTGGCTGGGTGGCCAAATGACACGCTTGCATGGCACTTTCCAAAACAGGAAGGGAATGACTCGGGAGACACTGAGGAGTGGAAGGGATTGTAGCTGGTATCTCCATGACAGGAGTATCGGCAGACTGTAGTGCAGTCAAAGAAGGCTGATTTTCTTGCCTAAGGCGTTGGGTTACAGCATCAGCGAGGCGGGAAATTAGATCATTGTTGAACGACGGGGAGGATGTGGACGGGTCAACTAAAGTGACTGCACTCTGAACTGACGGAAAAATAGTAGGTTTACTGGGTTGCTGATTTCGCCGCGGCCGTTTGGAAGTGGCGCCAGTCGTTGCCTCGCCCTGGGAGCGTTTGCATTCCAGTCTAGCCAATGCTCGAGGCATAGTGAACTTAGAAAAATAGAGAAACGGCAGACAAATGACA